TGCTGAATTATTAGCCAGCGGGTGAACGCTTTTTCTACAGATTCTTATCTAAATAATTACGTTAATCTATTATTATTATACCTAAGGTTAGATCATTTATATACATAGCTCTAAGCCCCTAGATCTATATAATTAATATACCTTATACAGCTATGAAAATTGAAATGTTCTATCATATATGCATTAGTTTAATACATTTTTAAATTTTTAAGAAATATAAATGTTTGTGTTTCGCTCCAGATATAACAGAACCCCTTTCTCTAATAATTCATTTCTTTGTTTTTCACCTGTTACTATCCTCTTTATTTATTTTTTTGTTTTTTTCTACTTTACTTTTTTTGAAATATATTCTTTAACGTATTACGTATGGAAGAAATTAATAAAGATTTGAATTTTGTTAAGTTGAAAGATTATAAAACACTTTTTTAATTGAAAGTTTCTAAAGAATCTTTAACACTATCCGTGACGGCCTATTTTTATTTTCTCAGTGATGGGGGGGGGGGGGTGTTTCTGGCCCCTCCTTTTTTTTAATATCTAATATTTTTACATGCTGCTAGTGAGAGAACCTGTTGTTAAAATATTTGAATCCCACCACTGGGTATCACAGTTCAGAATAACATACTTAACAAACTGATTTTTTGGGTTATTAATCATATTCATAGTAGCTTCATTTTACACAATCTAATTAAAAGCAGTACGACGCAATCATATAGGCCTACATACTTTTTTTTATCCTACCTATCTTCCTGACTGTCAAATACTTGACTGTAACTTGTAAGACATGCATCTGCGAGTAGATTTCGGGAGTTTTCCTTGTTATTGTTAATCATTGTCGCATATTTCTTTACTTAGGAGAATTTGACACGGAAAAGCATCTTCATTAAGTGCCATCTATATCAACTTGTCCAAGATTTCTGATTTCATTAAAATTTACATACCTGTTTGATAAGATCTTCCTGCAGACTTAGCATAGGATGAAAAAGCAAGAAGGAAGAACACTGAAGACAAGATCTCTGCCCTCCCAACTACTCCTGTTACCTGTAACCACGCAAAAACAAAAAGAAATATGGTTGAACTTTGCATTTTTGGAGCAGAATTAAAAACAGTAAAGTTTTCTGCTGTATTTGACTGCCTATATATTTTATTACCACCATCAGCTAAACAAATTGATGTAAAAATAACTAGTAAGTTAGTTATTTGTCAATTCCATGTGTTTCAATAATCCGTAATCTAAAACGATAATACTTCAAAGTTTCAACAATAACATAACACATCAAGTTCAACTTACTGCTTCAGTGTGGATGGGATGGATCGCAAAAAGGATAGCTGCAACAAAACTAGCACTCTCTGCTAAGAAAAGTCTCGTTATTCTAAAAAAGAAACAAATAAATAAACGTGTTTAATATACAGATTTTTTATGCTAAAATTTAACATGAAAACCGCCAATATCCATGTGCTTTTAAAGATATGAAACTATAACAAAATTAAAGAGGCCATGATTCGCTGGCGAATGCAACATTTCTCCACCACGCAATCACAACATGACCAATTTTGACACTAGAAAAATCGTGAAAAGCACAGAAAAAAGTCAAAATCTGTCTATATCACTGCTTGGGACCTGAAAGAAGAAATTTTTGTATCAAATCCTATGTACGTTGGATGACATACACATGAATAGTTCACGAATACCCCAAATTGTGCTTTCCTCACTGAAAATTTTAGCAAAAAAAAACAAAAATTCCAAAATTGTCTGTATTTCTATATCGGACCTGCAAAGAGTATCTTCGTACTAAGTACCATGTAAATTGGTCGAAATAAAGCTAAGTAGTTGACCAAAACCTTTAAAATTATGGATTTATTTATTGTTTTGACCCCCTAGAATGACCAAAAATGGGTATGTCCCATATTTTGTATGTATATGTATGTAAATTGACCGAAATACGGCAGAGTAATTGTCAACCAAACTCTAAAATTATGTTTTTTGCAGCATTTTGACCCCCCCCCCCCCATAATTACGAAAAATTGGCAAGTCTACCATTTATGTTTATCTGTAGAATAGTATCTTTGTGCCAAAACTCAATTTAAATTGGTTTGTTTGTTTGTTTTCCTATTTCGCGCAAAGCTACACGAGGGCTATCTGCGCTAGCCGTCCCTAATTTAGCAGTGTAAGACTAGAGGGAAGGCAGCTAGTCATCATCATCCACCGCCAACTCTTGGGCTACTCTTTTACCAACGAATAGTGGGATTGACCGTCACTTTATAACGCCCCCACGGCTGAAAGGGCGAGCATGTTTGGTGTGACGGAGAATCGAACCCGCGACCCTCAGAATTGCGAGTCGTGCGCCCTAACCACCTGGCCATGCCGGGCCATGTTTGGAAGAAGAAATAAAAAAGAAGAAGAAAAACAGTATATGTCTATGCGGAGACATGATAATATTCAATAAAACTTATAAATAACAATGTTCTTGCACATACCAATGCTTTACTCTATACAATTATAAAACTGATGTTTTCAAGATTTTCTTTCAGAACACAGTGCATATTTTTATTATTTTACAAAATCTCCAGAATGTGAACCATTAGTTGTAGAATATACTCCATAACATATTAGCTTTTATATCATAAACATAAACCAACATTGCCAAAGACATTATGTTAGGGTTAACGTAATGTCTTATGACAAATATAATTAATTATATCATGCTTCGCCAGCAAACTTTTAGTAAAAGGCGTTCACTCTATAACAACATTAACTAAAGCTTCTAAAAAATACGCATTGTTATGTTTATTTAATGTAATTTAATATAATTATTAAAAATATCAATAAACTGGGGATGGAAATTATTTGTTTAAAAATATTAAGTTTTTATAACTTACCTAAGAAAGAGAAGACAGGCAATTACATGAAGACTAACGTTTACTAAGTGGTAACTAAAAGGTTCAAGCTCACTTAGCAAATAGTTGAATCGAAATGTTAGAACACACAGTGGTCTGTAGGACTTGTGACTGTGTTCCTGTACGTAATTTAAAAACACTATATTTTATTTCACAAAGGGAAATATATTCATTATCATTTATCACTTGTATTTTTATCTATAAAGTTAATGAATACTACTGTGTTAATTTATAAAATAATATTTTAAGTCTGATCATAACATATTGCTCATGCAAACACATATACACATACACCAATACAAAATAAAATATATAATAATTCACAACAGAAAATGCTGTAATATTTTTTTAAAAAGCGTTTACCGTTTTTTTTTCTTTTATGTATAGTTTATGAAAATTAACAAATAATACTTGAAATAATAAATCACATATTATTTGAGCAGTAATTGTAGTAAGTTATTGCGTAATGCACTATCGGTGTCTTAGTTTATTTGGTAAAATATGTATTGTTTTTTAATCATACAATACTGGTTTACGCTGTTGTTCTAGTCTTACGAAAGGTATCATGTCCTCTTATATGTTATACATCATGCCCATCCAAATACAGTCGTACATTGTTTATTCCAATAATATACATGAATGCACTTGTTGTTTAGGTCCACTTAATGTTACATTTAACAATAATTAGTGGTATTCAAATTTGATGACGAGGAACCCACTTTTAGAAAATTAAATTTGAAGACGACTTGAATGGGTAATGAAAGAAACTCTATTACCTGATGATGACAAAAGCTTGTCGAAACGTTGTATATTTGTTAGTTGTGATATAGTTTGTTTCATTGCCGATTCAGGTCGTTTCCAGACTTTAATTGGTGGTCTGTAACCGTCTTGTTTTGTTAGTTAAATGAGTTTTTTCTTTAGTAATATTTTCCGACTAATTGAGTTTTTAATTACTTTAACATCACATTTTTGGTTTCTAATCTGCTCCCATTTTCCGGTCTGTAATCCTGATAAGGACTGATGATGGGATTTGAATCCGGGAACTAATAATAAACACGATTTCCACAAGGACTGTTGTCCGTTTATGGTGCCTTCGGATTTTATATTTGTGTTTCCTGTAGTGTTCACTGATAATTTCAATGTTTGATTAGCTTGCAGGTTTTTTGGGTTATATATATATATATATATATATTTGCCTAGATGGATGTGAAATCTTCTATATTTTTTCTTTTCTTGTAATGTTATGTGTATCCTATTTTTGTGACATCTTTCCACTGTACATAATGGAACTGCCGAACTGATGGTAATACAAAGTCTCGTGTGGCATTGATGTTCGTATATAGGTTTGGATATTCTAATACAGTGGCCTGTTTTAGAGACACAAGTGTAGAGGATAACGTTTCGAAAGTCTTCCGCCTTTCGTCTTCAGGTGAATTTCCCTACCATTCGACAGTGCAATGGTGCCACGAATAGACTTATGGCTAGAGGTATATATAACTCCTTTACAAGGAAGATTATTATTCGTATCGCAAGATTTTAAATGATGCAAATTGAAAAGGCACGACATTTCTGAAAAAACAACAACACACAAATAATAAGAAGCTTTTAATGTTATTTACATAAGCGTTAGAACTCGCACAACTGGGCTTTTAGGACAGCGAAATGACCCTCTTAAGCCTACGTGGAGCAACGTATTCGCAAAGTGAAAGCTACGGCTGCCAGAGATAGTCTTTTGACCCAAAAAGTTATTGCAATGAAAAATCGACCTGACTCTTGGTGCCGTTAATAAGGCAAAGAACAAATACCTGAAGTTTATGAAGGTTCACAAGCTTCTAACACCTTAAAATCAACAGCTGTTTCCGTGAGGAAGATGTCCGCGAAGACTAGAATCACAACAATTTTATCAATTTCCCCGATATAACTCCAACATTCTTTTATGTTCTTGGTCTTCTTGCATTTAGTCTTAGAAGTCCACGCACAATGGGAGGCTTGTGAGAAGTTAATCGAGATTAATCTTACCGTCCTTCTCAAAGCTTATTACAATGAAAATTGTGATGCCGGAAAATAGTCAGTAATCGTGGTCATTAGACTGACATGATTGACGATGGAGAAAGTACTTCTAAGAGCAGCACTGGACCTGAACATCGTTCTTATTAAAATGCATTAACCCTCAGTGTTTTCATATAAATAGTTTCATCGTTTCCACAATGTATTAATTTTCACATTCATATGGAAGGCTGTGGATTATATTTTTATCATTGTAGTGGATCTTGACTTTCTTTTGTTTTTTATACTACATAAAATCTTCGGGTGTAAGACTATTAACAGTTTTGTAAGTAATCAGTTACAAAAACAACTTACTGTAACACCTTAATGCAAGTTTACTTCGTCGTTCATTCGGGTATCAAAAATGCCAAGTTAAAATTTTATTGTTGTAGTATATTAAAACATATATTTACTTCTTTTGCCTAGGAACAGTACTAGGCACGTTTATTAATGAGCCACGTCAGGAAAAAATGAACTCAAGTATACTTAATTATTGTCGACAAAGGCCTGAAACCTAGCAGTTCGTTTTCGCAAATAAACCACTAAATATAGAAAACTGCCGAAAAGTATCTTTCAAATATGTTAGTAATACGTTTATTTTGACACCACTCTTAAGTTATCAGTGTTGTTAGTATTAAGAACTTACAGTTTATTTATTATTAATAAGTGCTACTTACAAGAGCAAAACAAACAGAACGTATTGAACAACGTCCTTAAAGTCAAAATGAAAGCCTTCACTGCCTGGTGTAGCTAACATAAAAGTAACACCAAATCATATGTGTTTGTTTTTATTACGCACTTTAGCTAGTATTAGATGGCAGAAATCACAATTTATGAACAAAAAAAAATGTATTATACGCTGTAAAAGGTAGTCCCCCCTCTTTTCACATAACTGAAGGATGATAAACCGTTTTTTCGAAGAATTACGTGGTGGAATAATCCGGTATCGAAACTACACATAATTCAGAACAGTGCAATCATAGATATGCTTTACGATCCAGCTTTTTGATTAGATTAGTTCATGAGATATCTTACGAAAAGCAGTAAATATTACCACACAAGGAATTCCTGTTTTCAACTTCCTTAACGGTTACTCTGACTAGCTAAGCCTTTTCATCTTGATCGCGCGTTTATTAAGCAACGGTACTTCTTTTCGTTTGGAGCAAAACAAGAAGTCACGCTGACACTTCATTTCGATCACCTGCAAACTTGAGACCTAAAACCCCGTTTCGTGACAACTGGAAGTGATACAGTTCTGACTAAGAGAGATACCATACTATCATTTGTACGTACAAGTCACATAGTAAATCTTGTATGGCTTAATCCAACTTTCTCATTTTCTCGTAAATGTCATTTAACTTTTTCTTCAAGCTTCGTGAAAAGAACGATGTGGCACATCGAACGCTTAATAAACCAGCATTGTTTTTCTTGGTTTCTTTTTGCATTGTATTCTCTAAAGACATTAGATTGCAAAACATGTTAAAAATTCTAAATTTTGTATTATTGAAATTTGCATCTTTTGCAGCACATTTAGTCATTATTGATAAGTACACTACTTTCATAACACCAAAAAACTCACAATAACCAAACAATCTATTTAAGAATATAAAAATAAAGAACTCGAAACTAATTTTTAATTTAACAAGAATGCCCCCCAGTGGCACAGCGGTATATCCGCGGACTTACAACGGTAGAAACCGGGTTTCGATACTCGTGGTGGGCAGAGTATAGATAGCCCATTGTGTAGCTTTGTGCCTAATTACAAACAATTTAACATGAAATTTGTTTCAAGAGTGACTATCCTTAGAAAAAATTAAAACCTCCAAATACATGTCAGCTGGTTAGAGTTAAAAACAATAGGAAGATATTTTTAATAAATTATTTTTGTTATTAAAACAATATTTTATAAACTTAGATTCATGTTATTTAATATATATTTCATATTTTCTTGGATTGTTGTTGTTATCTTCAAGAGTTGTAATTTTATTTATGTGATTACATATACACGTATATTGTTAGGCAAATTGACATTTAGAAACATGTACATATTTATAGTCTTCAACAGAGTTAAGAAATATTCTTAAAATATTATAGGCACTTCCAATATGCTAAATAGTTTTTCAATTTGACACAATATCCAAGTTGTCTAAAATATGAACATAATCTACTTAGGTTTCAAATATTGTAACAAAAAAATCTAAAAATCGGATTAGAAATGTATAAGGCTCCGAGGCACGAAAAAAAAACTATCGAAATTTCATATGTATGTGATTTCGTGTGTTCAGGTTAAATACAAAAGTATATAATGTGGCACATATGTTTCATATCTAGAAAAATTAAATTTTTATTGTTAGGTTAAACAGGTATCCTTGAATATTTCGTTTATGTTGTATTTCATTTTCAAAAAAGGGGGGCACTCAGTAAAGGGCATTATTTCCGCCACGCAGCGTTGATCATATTCGGCTCTCAAAAAATAAGAAAAAGTGTTCATATGTCCGTTGTTATCAAAACACACAGAAAAGTTTTGGTACGACAATGAGGAATAATAATGTCCACCAAGTTTTATTAAAATCCGATTATTTTTGAATGAGTTATAGGGCAAAAATAGTATGAAAAATTGGTCCCCATGTTAACAGATAGTGATTTTTTTTATTTTTCATGACCTTGCTGTGATCTTGGTCTTTGACCTTGACCCTCCAAAAAATAATCACGTTGGGTCATAGTCCAAATGTATACCAAACTTTCATCCAAATCCATTTAGCCGTTTTCGATAAAACTTACAGACAAACACACACACACACAGGGGTGAAAACATAACCTCCGTCCACCTTTGGTAATAAACAAATATTGCAACGAGAAACCACAAGAGATTTTTAATGCAGAGGATTTAAGAAGAAAAAAGTATGTAGATGAATGGCTTTTGTCTCATTTATAGAGTCTTGTTTGTTGTAAATTTCAGATAATGGCCCTAACCAAATTTGATTATTGTGAGAATTAGAAATATATTCAAAATACTGACATCGGAGTGCTAATAATTATGACACTTACATCTGTCCAAAACATGCTCTAAAAA